TCCCGACCCAAAAATCGCCCCAAACGGGTTTCGGGACGCTTCCCAAGGCCAAGCAGCACCAGCCCCTGTCACCGCGTCCGGCCGCGGCGACGAGGGGGGCCCACGAAGGCCAGAAAGCCTCGGTGGTCGAAGGGTCGGGGGGCGCGCCGCGACGACGGCGGCGAAGACGACGACGACGACGACGACGGCGGCGGCGGCGGCGACGGCGTCCTCGCCTGCGTCGTCGTGCACCCCCCGACCCAGAAACGTCCAAAAGGGGTCCCCGGATTTTTCCCAGAGTCAAAAGACACCCGTCTCTGTCGCCGCGTCCGGCCGCGGCGACGAGGGGGGCTCCCGAAGGCCAGGGGGCCTTGGTGCTCGAGGGGTCGGGGGGTGCACCACGACGACGATGGCGATGACGACGACGATGGCGATGGGGGTGGCGCTGATGATGACGACTACGGTTTCTGGCTTCGCTGCTAAAGCGGCGATGATCTGGAACACGCGCTTGTACTCCTGCTCCTTCTGTGGGCAGGCGTAGCGCTCAACCAACGCGGCCCAACTCACGCTTGGCAAGAGTTGCTTGCGGCCGTCGTTTCGAACCGCCACCGTACCCCGAGGCACGATGTAGTTCTCAGTATTCAGTCCCATGAAGTCTCCATGTAGTCCTCAGTGCTCACGCTCAAGGATTCCCCAAAGGCTCGGACCCCATATCCTCGAATCTCCCAGGCGAGTCTCCGCTGCGGGTGCAACAAGGGAAAAAACGTGGGACCCGAAGTGACATTGGGAACTCTCGGCGCCAAACAGCTCCCATGAGGTTTCGCGGAGCCCCCAACACGTCCCCAGAGATTGCCCAAAAGGGGCTCGGGCAGCTCCAGGAGGTGCCCCAAGAAGCGCTCAAGTGGCCCCAAGAATGCGCCCTTGTGGATTGTGACCCACACCCAGGCACTGCGGCGGCATGTGCCGAAGGCTGTAAATACTTGCGGATCGCGCAACTTGAATTCTCCATGAAGAAGAACTTACCCGCCATTGCGCGTCTTGGCATTTTGAGGCGTGCTCGAATGCCTTGTGCTGTCTGGATGAGCTTATGTGATCTTCCAAGAACCCCCCCTCTCTATCAGCGCCCCGGCGCGTGCACGGCCTCCCTTTCTCCGAGGCTCTGTCCCCATGACGGCCCCGGGGGCCCCCCAGGGAACCTCAATGCCCGATCAGGAAAACAGCATGCACACTCCGAAGATTTCAGCCATTGCAACTTATTCGGGTTTCCCGCGGCTCAATACGCGCCAAGAGGGCTCCAACATGGCACTGCGACGGTTGAACATGGCAGCGAACATGCTGAACATGCAAAGAAGGCCTTGGGACAGCCCGAGTAAATCCCACCAGCTCTTTAGGGCGTGAGTGGTCTAACGAGCTCGTTCTGCTAAACCCTCTCCTTCCCCTTCGGGGAGGGGGCTTCCCCTCCCCCTACCCCCTACCCTGGACCTGGAGGGAGGGTTTCGCGAGGAATTGGAGCGCCCAAGATGGCCCAATATGGCTGCAAGAGGGCCTCCAAGAGCCCCAGATGGTCTCCAATATCTTGCAAGATAGCCCAAGATGGTTCAAGATAGCTTTCAACATGCATCCAAGAGCTCTCGAGACCGCCCCAGGACGGCTCCAAGTGCCTGTCGAGCCCTCCAAGGAACCCATCAAGAGGCCAAAATCTTTGAAATCCCTTGTGTTTTTTTTCACAGTTTTCTGCATCATCGCCTTTTCGCGTTCGATGGGCCCCTGAGGCCTCAAGATGGCTCCATGATGGCCCAAGAGGGCCCCAAGAGGGGCCCAGGAGGGCCCCAATACCGCCCCAAGAGCGCTCAAGACCGCCCCAAGAGCGGCCCAAGAGGACCCCAAGAGGCACATTTTCGGGTCCCGACGGGGGGGGGGGGTGACTTCAGGACCCCCCTCCTTATATGATCGATTGCCCCAAGAAGGCCTTCAACGCATCAAATATGGCCTCAAGAGGGCCCCAAGAGCGCCCAAAGAGGGCCCCAAGAGAGCACCAGGAGGGCCCCAGAGGCCTCCAGGATAGCCCAAAGAGGGCACCCAAGGCTTCCAAGAGGGCCCCAAGAGCGCCCCAAGAGCCCAAGAGGGACCCCAAGAGCGCATCATGAGGGCTCCAGAGGCTTGCAACATGGGCCTCAGAGTGCCCCGCGATGGCCCCAAGAGGCTTCCAATACGCGACGCTCTCAGAGCGAAGGATGTTGGTGGTTGACTCTCGTCGTCGTCGTCGTCGTCGTCGTCGTGTTCGTCGCGGTCGTGGTCGTCGTCGTATTGCTCGTCATCGTCGTCGTGCCTTTCTTCGCCACCTATATATTTGCATACGCATGCTACTTGTTATCCTCCTCCTCCGGCTCCCCCTCCTCCTCATCCTCCTCCCCCTCCTGCTCATCATTGCCCGCCTTCCTCCCTTTTGCTCCTTCCACCCTCCTTTTCCGCATGCCTCCTCTTCTCTCAACTCCGATTGCTCCACCTCAACAGCGGATGTGGATCACTGCTGGGCCAGATGATGCTACACATCCCTGATCGGGTCAACTCGCCTGGCGACTGTTTTTGGATGGGCTGGTGGGGATACGCGAAGCGAGAACAATTTTGGAGAGAGTGCATCACGGGCACAAGAGGGCCTCAAGCTGGCCGTCAAGGACCTCCGAGAGCCTAAGATGGTTTTCACAGGGCACGTGGACGGCCGAAGGTGGCTTCTTCACGTCTCCCAACGACGCCCCCAAAGACGGCAAACACGGCCCCAAGACGCCTTATAATCCTCCGACTTTTCAGCATCATCCTCACCACCGCCCACATCACCACCACCACCGCCATCATCACCTTCTTACTAAGCATAATCATCATCTTCATCAACACCATCATCTTCCCACTCATCATCATCATCATCATCATCATCATCATCATCATCAGCATCATCATCATCATCATCATCATCATCATCATCATCATCATCATCATCATCATCATCATCATCATCATCATCATCATCATCATCATCATCATCATCATCATCATCATCATCATCATCATCATCATCGCCATCCTGATTATAATCCGAGGAGGAACGAGGAGGAGGAACGAGGAGGAGGAGGAGGAGGAGGAGGAGGAGGGAGGAGGAGGAGGAGGAGGCGGAGGCGGAGGAGGACTAGGAGGAAGAGGAAGGGGAGGCGGAGGAGACTAGGAGGAAGAGGTGGAGGGAGGACTAGGAGAACCATGGACGTCGGGGCCAGTGAGGGAGGGAGGGAGGAGAGGGAGGAGAGGGAGGGAGGGAGGATCGGAACGGAGGAGGGGGGAGGAGGAAGAGGGAGGAGGAGGAGGAGGAGGAGGCGGAGGCGGAGGAGGACTAGGAGGAAGAGGAAGGGGAGGACTAGGAGGAAGAGGAGAGAGAATTTCGAAGGATTACCCATTGGACAACCACGACAACGCCGGGCCGATAAACCGATAAACCGAAACATCCGATATACCGATAAACTGATAAACCGATAAATTATTTCGGATAAACCGATAAACTGATAAACCGATAAACCGATAAACTGATAAACCGATAAACTGATAAACTGTGCTGAGATTCGGGCACGCATGCGATGAGTCGGTTTAGTGGTTGATCGGTTTATCGGCAGATCGACCGATAAACCGATATAATCATATCGGTTTATCGGTCGATCTGCCGATAAACCGATCAACCGAAATAGTTTATCGATTTATCGGTTTATCGGTTTTATGTTCGTGTCCTGCGGCTGCAATCTATATATATATATATATACAAGTGGCACGTGTGTGCCCAGGCTCATACAAAAAACTGAAGGGGCGTTTGAAGCAGGAGTGAACTGCAACATCGAAGTCGCACTCGAGCACAAGTGGGGTTGCCACACCTTGCGATGTGTGTACCAGGACCCCCCAGGAAGCATCAGGAGGCCCGACTTGGATACCAGAAGAGGCTCCAGGAGGCCCCAGGATTGTGAGTGTTGTGCGTGTGTGTGTGTGTGTGTGTGTGTGTGATGTATGCTTTGTGTGGTGCGTGCTTTTTGTGTGTTGTAGGTGTTGTGTGTGTGTGTGTGTTATGTTTGTCTAGCGTGTGATGTGTTGGGCGTGATTTGTGTCTCTGTGTGCATGTAGTTCTGAAGCCCCAGGAGGCCCCAGGAAACCCCAGGCGGCCTCAGGAGGCCCCAGGAGACCCCAGGAGGCTTCAGGAGGCCCCAAGATGCTCCAGGAGGCCGCAGGAGGCCCCAGGAGGCCCCAGGAGGTTTCAGGAGACCCCCAGGAGGCTCCGAGGCGGGGTCTGGGGTGCCAGAAGGTTCAGAAAGCTCCAGGAGGCCCCAGGAGGTTCCAGGAGGCTCCCAGGAGGCCCCGAGGCGGGGTCTGGGGCTCGATTTTGGAAGGATTTTTCAAGCGAAACCGCCATTCCCTGAGAATCGGGGTCACAATTATTGAAATTACCATATGTTTTTGAAGGTTTTATGTTAAACTATTGAAATTCCCATGTGTTTTTGGACCCTGACGTCACGATCTGCGTGAGGGGTGCCACCGATTTTCAGAATTTCGAGGATGTCCCGAGCGAAACGCCCAGAAAAATCGCGGACGCGTGCGCATTAATCGCCTCTGAGCTCTACTCCCTCGGAGAGGTGCGTATGATAATATTCATATACGTATACATGGAGGACGACGAGGAGGAGGAACAGGAGGAGGAGGAGCAGGAGCAGGAGGAGGAGGAGGAACAGGAGGAGAAGGCGCAGGAACAGGAACAGGAGGAGGAGGAGGAGGAGGAGGAG